GCCCGCCAGCACCCGCCGGCGCAGCCCGCCGCACCGGCCACGCCGGACACCTCCCATCGGAGCCGCCGCCCCGGACGCCGTGGCCCTCCGCGAAGGCGAAGCCACCAGATCCCCGCCGCCACCGTCATAGGTGTCGCGCGGCCGGGCCGGCGAGCACCTCAGGCGGCGGCGGAGGGAGGGGAGAGGGAGGGGGAGGCGCGGAGGGAATTAGGGTTCGCCCCCGGGTCGCCTCAGGCGAGGCGACGCGAGGGGACAGGCGGAGGGAGGGGATCAGCTGTCCCAACTAAAAACCATAACCACCAAGAACATGCTACAGAGGAACACGTCATGTCTATGATAAGATCATTCGCGTGTCACGAAGAATGTAAACATAGACAGGTAGAACTTATCAATTAGCATGTTTGATAATTTCACAAGGTTCTTCCCTGCATCACACATGCTTTACTTCTTGATACAAGAATGAACCAAAGGGAGAATTTATATGATTGACATGTTGCTTGCAGGCTACTACGTATGTAAGAGTCACCAGTGCCCTGGGAGAGAGAACTCGGAGGGCACACGAGAGGGGTGAACTCAGGATACAACGGGATGATGTCGCTTCAAGGGACCCGAGAGAGTTCTCATCCCAATGACCGGATGACGAAGCACAAAACAAAACACAAGTTGAGACCAGACAACAAAGCACACAAAATTCAGAGGAAATGTGACACTATAATTCAAATGGACAGCTGGCCTAGATTCAACAGTTCCTTGTAGATTGTCTGCAGTAGTAGATCATTTGGGAAAAGGATGCTCATACCTATTCAACTTCTAAAAAAAAGAAACAATCCAAAGAAGGAAAGATAAAATAGAGCGAAACAAACCAAAGATGGATCAGACTTCAAGCTTGGAAGCCTATGATAAATGATTGCGATTGCGCACAGCATAATCACAGTTGATAAAATATGCAATATGTCTACACTACACTTAACATGCAGCAAGTTACATGTAAATCTGGTAAAGCAAGCTCATCAATCAATACACTTAACATGCGCAGCTCAAAGTAATACCACCTAAGATGCAAATCCAATGGAGGTAATGAAAAAGTTTGGATCTTCAGCTCACCTTCAGATCCACTAGTTTACTGCAAATTAATGGAGTGCGCCCAAAACATGGCAGAAATGAACTTATAACAGAGTGCTCCCAACTCAGAAT